TCCAAAAAATCCAACCCTAGAAAGGGTTAAATTGTTTTTTTTTTTAATACTACTTTTCTATATAACTCTCAAAGTTTACCTGGCATTTATTTTGCCTTTATATAATTCTGTCTTATGTATACTTTCCGTATGAGGTCTTAAATGGGTTTTATCGATTTTCCGAAAATCATTGAAATTCTTTTTTTTTTCACAAATTTCTTTTCCACCAGTCGACCTTACCGTTTGGATCAGAAAAGTTCTTTGGTGGTCTCTTCCCATCATGCGTCTTGGAACGATGGAAAAGGGCAGAGTCCTGAGGAGAGTTACCCAAGCCATATCTCCATAAACATAACTTCTCTCACGTCAACTTTTCGACACAATTTCCCTGCCTTAAAGGGGATCGAATATACATGCACAGCCGGGAAACGCAGGCTTGGAAACCCCTACCCGACCATCCCATCAAATACACCGCGAGGAAAGATAACTTCTCCTACTTTTTTCTTGCTCTCTTTCTTTTACGAGGGATAACGGGGAAAAAAAAGAAATCGAGACATCATCGAGAGAAATCTTCTTTCTCATTCAATTTACCAAACACAACGAGACAGCAGGTGGGGGCGAGGGTTAGAATTATCATTTCCCAGTGTATTAGACACTCCCGAGAAAATCAGAGGAGTTTCGAAAGTTAAGAAGAAAAAAAAGCTATATACCATTCTCTACAGCAAAGCAGGATTTATCGAGTTTCTTTGACCTGAAGTCCGTGTAGGTTCGCTAACTTTGTTTGAAATTTTTAAATTGAACGAGTCGATCGAATCCAATGACCAATTGGTACGTGAATCACGAAGTCTCCTCGAGCGTGGATTTCCGATGAGACCAAGGTGCCCCGAAGACCCCATGAAGTTGTCCAGCACTGACATAGCTCACGATATACTTTCGGCCTTTGTTCCAGATTCGCGTTCCTAACCTACAAGGAAGTCGTCACAAGATCAAAGTGACGATCACCATCATCGAAAGTCACCCGATGAATAATTCGCCGTTGGCAGCCACGTTTTACCCAGGATGCAATGTGATTGGAATTCCCTAGGAAGTTCCGTCGAGGGTTTCCCTCTACGTGATACTCCTTCGGAGTAAAAATTAATTTCCGATCGAATTATCTGCCTGAACGTAAAAATATCACCCCCGAGCCTCAAGGTATATGTTCGACTAGGTATAATTCCCCAGGTATCCCGTTTATCCAGCTACTGGAATACACGTAGAGCCAAACACCCATAGGGAAATTAAAGGCCTCCTGGACAGCTTATCCCCGTGTTGCTCCACTCGACTCCCATTCGTGTTAGCTCGGGTTACTTCGGCTCCTCCTGATAAACTGCCCCGTTCACGTGCGAATAGATGAAAGAAAAAGTGGCCGGGCGAGAATCGTAATTTCGCAGAATCCGAGAATCCCCGGTAGCTACTTTCTCTACTTTCTCCCTCTGTGCCACTAATAAATGCCATAGCTTTTCGCGGAGTGGAGACATAACTCACTGCGTTCGTATTCCCTGTCCGTGTACCGTGTTCTGGACCAGCGTCACACTCGGAAAGAAACAAGTCGTGTGGCGTGCGTGTGAGGCACGCGTGACACGTGAAAAGCGACATGTGACACCCCCTACTGGCTCGTTCGCTGGTTGGCTGACTGGCTGTGTCCGCTATTCCGTAGGGTGAGAGAGGGCTGATCGGGCCGGGGGAGGACGGGGGGGGGCCTCCTTTTCCGCCGATAACAAGACTTGCCCGACCACGTGACTCCAATGCGAAGTAGCCAATGGGCTGGCAGAGAAGGGGTTGTATCAATACACAGGACAGAACACACTTTTCAATTGGGGAGAAATAGTTGTACGCGCCCGGAATTGAACCCGAACGAGCAAGCATTTCACCTTCGTCTTCTTGGCTATCAGGGATACCAACCTTGTAGCCTTCTGGGCGCTTTACCAGAACTTTATCTTCTGTTTCTTTTCCCCACTCTCCCGCTGTACTGGGTTCTCCTATTAGGCTCTTTGTTTCTTCACTCCTTGTACGTCCTCTCTACCTGGTAATTGTGCCTGCCGTCCTGACGACCATGCCAATTTTTTTTAACGTTTCTGTAATTCCTGTATTTCACGTGTGAGTGTCGATTATTTTGTTAGTTTTTTCCCTGTTTTTTTTTTTTTTTTTTTCTTTACCTCTCGGGTAAAGCAATCGTTTACGGCATTGCTTCTCACTGGGAAGAAATCCTTTCGTGTCTTGTTTACACACCTGCCATTTTTATTTCGGCATGTGTGGCGTCATACCTATACGTATATACACGCAGCTGTGCCGCACAAGTTGCTACGGTAAACTCATAGCGGTGTTTCGCGTGTGCGAGGCCATAACTTCCGTCAGGATTTGAACGAGCCGTCGGGACGATGGGAAGACACGCGATTTCCTATAGTTATCCTGAAATGCATCCACTCCAGTTACGATTCCTGCGGAACGAGAGCTTCTTATTTTCTTGTACTTTACATTTCTGCTATTCATCTATCTGTACTGCATTTTCATTCTCGTTTCACATCCTTACTAGCGTACGCGAATACGCGTATGGAAATCCCACGAAGTAAATGTACCTAATAATAATTTACTTTAACGTCGAAAAATCCTCATTGTATTTACTTTCATTGTCTGTATTACAATACTGTATATTATTGTGTAGAAAATAAGGATGTGACGTCAACGATAGAATATGGCTATATCTCGTGTATTAAAGGAAGAAAGACGCTAAAAAGAAATACTATCCGATCAAAAGGTAAAATCAAAGTTTAAAATGTACCTTCAAATATAACTGGAGCACTCTGGCATGAGTTGAACATTTGTTGTTCACACGTTGATAAAGGTAGCCAGCCCGATGGAGGTGCTAGGTAGGCTTGATGGTTTCTGGTTGCGATACCAGAACTGTTAGTGGCTCTTCGTGCCAGGCTTTGCCTTTTGCGTTTAAACCGTCGACAGAATGAGCAGCCAGACTGAATGAGTGAGTGATGGACGAGGGAAAATAACTCGCAGCTAGTTTGCAAGCAATTATACCGACGAGTTGCGCAATTTTCACAGCGCCAGATTGTCCGTTGCTTAGTCAGCTTTATGTTCTGCGTCCTTCACCAATTATTTAACACTTCACAACCGCTCCTAAAACTTTTGTCAAACTCGGGTTGATTCCTTTGATGTAGAAAATCGATCAGTCTCAAGGTATTCTCCCGTTTTCAAGTACTGCCACTCAGTCGTGACAAGCGTAGCTTCGCACTGTCGGTAATGTAGGAATCTCTCTTGACGATTGGTAAAACTTATTGTCTGCCAGTGAATTAATGGCGGACCTGAGAATCGTACGCGAGAAATGTCAAGTGAGTTTGTTCTACGTAGAGGATATGTGTATCGTGTATTACGTAATTTATGTATCTCAGAATAATGCGCGTGGTACGGAGTTACGTGCACCAGTTATTCCAGCTAGTCGCTTTGCGGAATTACGGAAATACGTTTCATTTCCTGCAAACTAGTTCGGACCGTTCGAGTTCAACTTCAGGATCCTCGCATGCGTGTCGGTTTTGTGGCGAACTTCCTGACGGGCTACGTCAACCGAGCGACCTTTTCTCACTTGGTGAAGCTTCTGTTCCCTTTTACTCCTCTTCGTTCCAGTTCATTCTTCCTGGAGTCTAACCTCCTCGTGCGCAAGGAAGATCGCAGCTCGTGCGTAGTGGCCGAAACTTCGTCTAACAAATGATGCTGTTTGCTATCGCCACGAGACCAACTGACAAAGTTTCTCTAGACCGAGATGAGTTTGTATGGTCATTATCGTTGATGTCATCGACTGTGCTTTTCGAGGGATGATTTTTAATGGTCGGTACGAAATTGTCGGGGAATCCGCGTGACTGAAATTGTGATTGTGACAAACGCGTAATTGGCACGAGATTCGAGGATTATTCTTTTTAAAGTTTTTCTTTTTTCAACTGCCTGACTGATCGAGCTATTCTTATTATAAATAGAGAGAGTGTTAATTATTTCTTCTTCGTGTCATTCGTAAAATATCAGGCTTTTTATATTCGGTTTAAATTTATGCAGACACAAGAAAGCAACTAGATAACTCTTCTTATAAATCCTGCGATAAAGTTTCACCCGTGACTTCGTGACGTGTTTTGGCTAGAGTCTAAACTGTAATTATTATTTTCATATTCAAAGGGCTATGAAAATATTTCGTGACTTCAGGACCTTCTAATGGATCGCGACACGATATCTTTTTCCAGAAATTCGTGTTTGCTGATGATCTATCGAGTGTAGATAGGAATGAGATTGAAATTAAGCCGCTTATCACGTCAAGAAATAAAAGAGAACACAAGAAAAATGGCCCTAGTCCAAGGGGATGATTGGTAGAGAATACAAAGGGATGCAAATACCGTCCAGAATCTTACCACTTCGGTACGCAGCTGTGGCCAACGTTACAGTATAGGAGTACCGGGGAGTCGTGCTAAGGGTGTGTGGGCACCCCTATTATAAAATAACAATAAATTACGCGCTCAATATACTATAAAGCGTTAACGCCTGCAAAGGAGTCTTCTCGTAGGACAGCGGGGGGGTTTGGTAATATCAGTGTAACCGTGTACGTATGTCTCACCGTGTTATCGTATAGGTCTGGCGTAGTACTGTCGTAGCCCATAGAGCTGGCCAAGGGGCTGAATCAAAGGGAATGGCCGAGTGTGTCCTGGATATCGCGATAAAAAATCGATATCTCGTGGCAGTGTCGAGAGTCAGTGACTGTCACCAATGCCCGTAAAAATCGAAATGGCCGCATTTTCATCCCCTACCACTTTCAGGCCTTCTCTCTACCCACCCTATATAATCCTCTATACGCGACGTATTCACGAGTCTTCATAAATAGTAGACAGAGTCATTATATATGTACAGTTTGTATACATTATATACATATACACATATTCGTGACTGTAGCTATAGACTGATATGTAGCTATTCAGGTAGCTAGGTATAGATATAGGCATTCGATTATGCGAGCCTTTGGGGGTGGTTGGCTGGCTGGCTGGCTGGCTGGGTGGCTGGCTGGTTGACTGTGGAAGGCTGCCAGGGTGCCGACTGCACGCCAGTCCGTGCTCAGACGTGATTCCTAACGCAACTTACCTTTTTTCGTTCCTCAACTCTTTTACCTCTTGGATCTAAATTCTTGGAGGTATGACAAATTTTGTTTGTATAATTTTTGAAAATTCTGAAACATAATTCAAGTCTTGCTTTTTATAGTCGTGCCATATATATATATATGTATATATTACCGAGTGTACATTTTCGCAATGCAAATGGTTCCTCGGTAAGTTCGAAATAAAAAAAATCGTGTTTACCTCGTCGCCGTGTTTTTCTTCTTAACATTTTGATAGCTGACATCGGATAAAGAGAGTTTGCCATTTGCCGGGATATTTTCGCTTTGGGAAATGGTCCCTCGAGTTTTCCACGGTTTAACGTCATCTCCGAAGGTTTACTGTAGTTTCGGAGTATGGATCGTAGCGTTTCGCACCTGTGTCACGAATGCCACGTGTTTCTCTACAGGGTGGACCAAAAAGAGATGGCACCACTTCCACGTGGTCTTTAGCTATACGGAGGTTCACATCGTAGGGTTGGAATTTCTCTCTCTCTCTCTCTCTCTCTCTCTCTCTCTCTGATCTTGCTTCTTACTTTCTTTCTTTGCTTACGGGAGGGCTCGTTCCTTAAGAGACTCGTGGAGACTAGGCTTTAATATAATTCGCTTTTTGTTTTTGAGGGGGCCAGTGCCGTAAGGAGAGATTAAACCTCGATTAAAACTGCTCTTCCACCGCTCTATTTCTTTATAATATATTTATATTTTTTTATTTTTTCTTCTTCGCCGCACTTCACGGCTCCCATAGACTTTTCGTGCGGAATAGAATGAACGAACAAAGAGAATGGGGAGGGAATCGTTCGATTATGTAAGTGAGCATGGATGAAGACTGGATTAGGATGAAATAAAGGATGAGAGCGAGAGAGAGAGACAGAGGGGGATCTCTGCGTGACGGACGATAATACCTTTTATTTCGCGGAAATTTTCGTAAATTTATTCGTGAGCTCGCGGGCTTTCGAAATTCCGCAGTGGTAAAGGGCATCGGCAAAAAATGACAAAAATCTCGACGACTGTCCCGCAAGGCAAGGTCCTTGATATTTAACGATTGATTGGCAGGATCACCAATTTGGCCAATTACCGCAGCCTCCGCGTTCTTCGAATCCTGCATTAAATTATACCTCGTCGTTACTTAACGTTTAACAACTTTTTGCCGGATATGCGAATTCTCGTCTGTACATATATATATATACAATATAGCAAATCGAGATATCGAAAAAATTTGTAAAATTTTCAACTGGGATAAATTAAGGCGAGAAATTTTTTTTTCAATATTCCTTATCATCGTACGTATCGTTGTGCCTCGTGAAAATTTCGTATTTTTCCCATCCTATGTAATTCACATAGTTTTTTCCAACACGGAAAGTTTCGTTGCGCGAATCGATTAATTTCCTCGAAGCAAGTCGCTCCCACGAGCTTCGCTGTCGGAAACCTGACGGAAAGAGAGAAGGAAAAGAAAAAGAGCGAACCTTCTTCAAATTGCACATACTGGCCCGGACTGGGACTGTAATCCAGACAGATGGGACTCGTTAATGGGACGCGTACAATTTGTAAGAAATCTAATAACCCCGGCCCATAACTCGCGAGGCTTTCCCGACTCTAATGACAATACGAAACTCATCAGAAATTAAAATTTGCTTGAGGCACCCTGCTACACGAACCGCAGATTCTTCTCAGATTCTCCTCTCTCTCTCTCTCCCTCCCTCCCTCTCTCTCTCTCTCTCTCTCTCTCTCTCTCTCTCTCTCTCTCTCTCTCTCT